CGCATGTGTTCATTACAGGTAAATGCATTTTTTACAAAAATTTATATTAAATAAACTTAAGTAAGTTTGCAATTTTGTGTTGGGCCGCAGGCTGGACAACCCCGGAGTAAAACACTAAACAGCCTCTTTAACCACTTGCCGCCCTGCCACTGTAGAAATACACTGGCAGGGCGGCACGGGCAGGCAAAACCACGTTTTAAAACGTGTGTTTTGTAAACAGGTAGGGGGCACGCGTGAGGCGCGGCGCACCGCCGCCCTGCCTGTCCCGCCGATCACGGCCGTGGATGTCAGTCGCTGGGTCACAGCCGGTCCTTACCGGCTATCTCCCGGCGATCATCAGTGACAGAGCAGGGCTGCAGTAGCTGTGCTTTCTGTCAGTTCCCTGACAGCTCGAGAACACGCTGATCGGGACAGAAGAGTTTCTCTCTCCCGATCAGCGGTGTTCCCTGCAGTGCGCACACCCCGCCCCCTAGTAAAACACTCCCCCTCACACAGTTAACCCTTCCCTGAAAAATAAAGGTAACCCCTTCCTCCCCAGTGCCATTAGTACAGTGTCAGTGTTTTTTTTTTTTGCACTGATCCCTGTATTTGTGTCACTGGGGATGTCAGTGACCCCAAGTCAGTACCCCCCCCAGTGTCAGAATGTCCGCCGCAGTCCCGCCATAAGTCACTGATCGCCGTCATAAGTCGCTGATCGCCGCCATAATTCGTATAAAAAAACCCCTAAAAATCCCAGTATCTTTCCCGCCATTTGTAAGCGCTATAACTTTCACGTAAACCAATTAATTTACACGTATTGGTTTTTTTTTTTTTTTTAGCAAAGACATGTCGCAGAATGCATTTTGGCAGAAATTTATGATTAAATTTGATTTTTAAATTTTTTTTTACTGGACATGTTTTATAGCAAAAAGTCCAAAATATTGTTTTTTTTTTCCTCAAAATTGTCAGCCTTTTTTTTTTATAGCGCAAAAAATAAAAACCGCACAGGCGATCAAATACCACCGAAAGAAAGCTCAATTTGTGGGGAAAAAAATGATGTAAATTTCATTTATGTACCGTATTGCATGACCGCGCAATTGTCCGTTAAACTAGCGCAGCGCTGTATAGCAAAAAATGGCGTAAATTGCAGTATCTCTCCCATAGATTGTAGACGCTATAACTTCACACAAAGCAATCAATATACACTTATTGGGATTTTTTTTACCAAAAACATGGAGCAGAATACATTTTGGCCTAAATTTATAACCAGCTTTGAGTTTACTATATATTTTTTATAGATGGAAAGTAAAAAATATTGTTTTTCTTCAAAATTTTTGGCCTTTTTTTGTTTATAGCGTGAAAAATAAAAGCGCACAGGTGATCAAATACCACCGAAAGAAAGCTCTATTTGTGTGAAAAAAGAGACGTAAAATTTCGTTTGGGTGCAGCATTGCATGACCCCTGCGCAATTATCAGTTGAATTAGTGCAGCGCCGAGTAGCAAAAAAAGAGGCGTGGTCATTAAGGGGGGTAAATCCTCAGGAGGGCAAGTGGTTAAGGCTTTAAAATTAAATCCTATAAAACAAATTTTTTTCTGAATATCTTGGTTGCTGAAACACAAAATGTATTGTACATTTACAACCCAGCTTTACATTTCCAACATTCTTATTTACTGAATTACAGTTATGGGAAAACATAAGTACGTCTTGTGGAAATTGTTGACTTTTCTCACATATTCGAGGAGCCGAGCATTAAATCTTCATCTATAAAGGATCTTCTTGAATAAAGATACGAGAAAAAAAAAACAAACTATGAATAACGTGGCCACAATCAGAACAAATGTTTACTGGTACTTGATGAACTAGCTGAAATATGCTCCATGGGTGGACCTGCACTTTCAGCATCCTCCTGTCCGACAACCTTTGACTGGAAGGAAAAAAAAAAAGTCGAAGAAGCCAGATGGTGAATTGTTGGACATACAGAACCTGCATCCAGTCACATGGAGTCCCTTGCTTAGGTACTGACAGTTAGCGCCGCCGGCTGCCATAATACAATAGCTACAGAGATTTGTCCATCTGCGCTGTTTCGCATGGATGGAAGAATTCGTTAGATCTTTTTACTTCAGTTCATCGTATGGAGGAAAAAACATTTACGTGAATGGCCAGCTTTACCAGTAACTCCGTTTCCAATAATCTTGCAAAACAGCACATGAGAGATCGTCACCGACTCCACCAGGAGCAAGAAAATGATCACCCTCTGCAAACTGATCAGTAATAAACACAAATATAGCACTTAAATATACTGCACCACATAAAGATGGAAACCCTTCTGTCCTGGAACACTATTGGTAATCATCTGTCAGGACAGTTCATGAGAATCAGCAATAACTTACAAGGTTAGGGAGAGACACAGCTTGGAGAATTCTCCTACAGGGCTCACAGTACAGGTGAAACTCCAAAAATGAGAATATGGTGCAAAAGTTTATTTCAGTGCAGCAACTTAAAAGGTGAAACTAATATATGAGACTCATTACATGCAAAGCAAGATAGTTCAAGCCGTGATTTGTCATCGTGAAAAAAAAAAACAAAAAAAAAAAAACAAAAAAAGGTTTAATGTCACTTTAAAGGACAACTTTACAAATCTCAATAGGTTACACCCGGTATTTGGGGTGTAACATGCAACATGTTGAGCATCCACCATCTCACCCCCGATCCGCCCTTCCTTGCGACAGCAAGCGTGGGACCTTCACACTGCACCCGCTGTCACCATTCAAAAACAGTGGGAGCTCAGCCTACATCGCCATATCATTCACAGAGCTCTGTGAATGAATGCCTACAAGTACCATCAGCCATTGAGGCCGACGACTTGTAAATAAACCGCGAGGGCGCTGGTGAGTGCACTGAGCTTCCTGGACTTCAGCAATTGCCTGCCTGTATCTGAGGCATTGGAAGACCGTGATCTGACAGATTACAAGAGCCTGACATTGGACCTGCGATCTGTTGATCATGGGCGCAATGCTTTACGGGCTTCCAAGAAAATAAAAAAATGCATATTTACCTGCAAAAAAAAAAAAAATGTGCATGCGTTTTTTGTTTTTTTTTTTTAAAGGTGAACTTGTCCTTTAAAGTAAAAGAGCAATTACAGAATGCATTGAGCCAATATTCGGGCTCTACCACAACTTTCAGCTATAGGCATACAGTGTATGTAACAGATTAACATGTAGCCTAAACTCAGCAAACTACAAAATTATAGTACAGAACATTTAATACATTTCTGTTGAAAAAAGGTACTAATACTCAACAAAAATATCAATAGATGAAATGGTGGACTGTGCAAAAATAAGTACACTCTAGGCTTCAGAAGCTGGTATTGCCCTCTATTTCTTGTAGGTTTTTGCCTAACTGCAATACAGCAAAAGCAACCCCAAACCAAAACATTATCACCATCATGTTTCACAGTTAGTATGATGTACAGTACTTCTATAATGTTGTCTTTGGTTTGCACTAAACATGTTTACGGTTACTGTGAGCCAAAACGGATCTCCAAAACTACAGCTCTTGTGTGATGCTTCCAGTTTGCAGTAGTCAGGACCTACCACAAGTGGTCCAAAGAAAGAAAACTGGCACCATATTTGCAACTTATTGTTTTCTCCTTTTTTTTGTGTTCTCTTTTTCTGTACATGGCACTTAAGTATGCAGTTTATTTCTGTGTCTCTCCATCAGTACATATTCTGTAATATTCATCGAATCCCTTGTATGTCTTACTCCTGTTGGTCAATGCATCTGTTTGATCCCGATTCTCTGCTCCTATCTATTCTATAATAAAATTCTTTGTAAAAGAAAGAAAACTGGCAAACTGGAGACGGGGTCATGGGTGTCCAAGGCTCACTGATGCATGCTGGGAGTGAAGACTAACTCATATAATCCAAACCAATAGAAGAGCTACTGTAAGCTCAAATTGCTGAAAAAGCTATTGTTGGTTTCAATAGAAAGATGTCTGAACACACGGTGCATCGCAGATTGTGGAGTATGGGGCTGTGTAGCTGCAGACAGAAGGGTGTCCATGCTGACCCATGTCCACAGGAAAAAGCACCTACAATTGGCACGTAAGCATCAGAACTAGACCATAGAACAATGGAAAAAGGTGGCCTGGTCTGCTAAATTAAAGAATGCTTTGAGGAACACAACAATGCGTTTGAGGTACTGACTTGGCCTCCAAATTCTCCAATTCAGTCAAGCATCTGTGGGATGTGCTGTAAAAACAAGTCTGATCCTTGGAGGCCCCATCTCACAACTTACAGGACCCTAAAGGATAGGCTAGAGCCAGATACTACAGCTACCAGAATCTACCTTCAGAGGTCTAGTGGAGTCTATCGTTCGATGTGTTATGGTGGCTTATGTCGTCATGGATGATTGGTGTAGAGTTTAAATTCTTTTTTTTTTTTTTTTTTTTTACTATCTATAACTCCTATGTATAGAATAAGAGAACTATTTCTATTTACAGTTAACCTGGCCATAGATGGATTGAAATTTGGACACTTCCGCAGGGACCAGCGCAACTTTGAGCCACGCATGTTCAACAGATGTTGATTGATCGACTAACGTCTGTTGAAGTAAATTATTTTGATCAGCCTGGCTGCAGCCACTGCTCAGTGTATTCTGACAATGAAGAGTCCAGTCCCCCCCGTCAGAATACAATGTCCCACAGCAGAGGAATTCCTCTATCCACCTTGCTTGTGAAATAAATACAAAACAATCTGTAGGCTTCCTGCTGCATAGGGCAACACCACAGTCAGTTGACAAAAAAATGCAAAAAGCAAAAGAGAAAGAAGCAAAAACAATGCACTATGGCCGAGAATGCTTTTAAAAGATGAGGAGGGAGAGAAATCAATGAAAACAAATGCCTAAAGCTCCCGGCAGGGCACTTATTTCATGTATAGGCTTCAAATCTAACTTGCTCTCCATATGAACAGGTCAGCCGCTTATTGCTTTTCCCACGACTATAGAAACACAACAAACTCACCTGAACCGTCTTCTTAATTCTGTGCGATGGACCAGGATAATCCGGAGCATATAAATCCGTTAAGAAGAGTGAATTTATTAGAGTCGACTTTCCCAGACCAGATTCACCTATGAGACACAAAATACATGTTACAAGTTTAAACTTTGAACTGCTTGTGAGAAACATGAAAAGTCACAAAAATCATCATAAATCACCTCAAATCATAAAAGAAGGCGTCAACATTTTTGCTCTTTTAAGGGAATATTATGAAAAGAGAAGTACAACCAAAACTCTTCTGGTCATACCTCCCTCTTCTGGGTCACAGCAGCGCAATCTGTTCAGTTCTGCATTCCTGTGACCCAGATTCACAGGAATCTGGTGTCACAGAACCACTTCAGGGTCTGTAGGGATCCTGGCTTTAACCCCTTCCCGACCGGCTGGCCGTTGTATATAAACAGCCGGATGGTGGCAGTGCAGGGTCAGGTGGACGTTTATAAACAGCCTCCCTGCACCCTGCTTGTGCGCGCTCCCTGGGAGCACGCAGCACCGCGATCCGGTGCCCGCTGTGTCCTCCGGACACAGTGAAACACCGATCGTCGGACGGGACCTCTGTATGAGGTCCCGATCATGTGATTGCTGATTGGCCAATCAGTGATCACATGCAAAGTAGTAAGCGAGATGTCACTTCTGACATCATTGCTTACTACATGTGAAATCTGTGAATGATCACAGAGATCACATGGTACAGGGCCCTTCACAACAGCCTTGTACCGTGTGACAAGCTGTGACCAATCACAGCTCACTCAGTACTTCTCAATGGCTGCAAGAATGCAGACAGAGAGAAAGAGAAATGATTGCTATTACATCCTATATGGGTGTAAAAGCAATCAGTGTAAAAAAAAAAAAAAAAAAAAATCTTCATCACCCCTCACAAGTAGTACAGTGTCACCATAGTGACACTGTACTGCTAGGGTGACAGTAAGTTAAAAAAAAAAAATATATTAAAAAAATAAAAATGTAAAAAAAAAAAAAAAGTTTAAAAATTATAATTTTTGGTTATAAACTAATTTGGATTTTTTTTTACTAAAAAGATAAAACTGAATACATTTTGGCCAAGATTTATGATGAAATACTATTTATTTGCAAAATTTTATTTAAAAAAAACACTTTTTTTCAAACTTTTTGGACTTTTTCATTTACATAGCAAAAAAAATAAAATCCCAGCGGTGAATAAATACCACCAAAATAAAGCTTTATCTGTCTCAAAAAAATGGTAAAAAATTCATATGGGTAAAGTGTTGCATGACCGCGCAATTGTCATTCAAAGTGTGATAGCGCTGAAAGCTGAAAATTGCCCTGGTCAGGAAGGGCGTGAAAGTGTCCGGACAGGAAGTGGTTAATGTCGGAATCCACCCAGATTCCTGAGGGGGTAGCTGGCTCAGCCTCTCAACACAACGCTTAGAGCATGGGCCTGCCCCTCCTGCCCTCTGCACCGCACTCCAGTGAGGGCTGAAGGGGCAAAGCAGAGAGCAGGTGGCTGCCAGTCACTGCTCTGTGCTCGGAGAAGATCAAGAATTGAGCGATCAGCAGTCATATGATCGCTCAGTTTTCAGTCTTAGAGCCAGCGGGTGAATGTTTACTCTTTTGTAATCCCACACGTTTCCTTCAACATTTCATGTGCTATGTATTGCTGCAGTACCTATCAGAACGCACCGGTGCAGTCATTCTACAATACTGACAATTTTCTTACACACATACATAACACTACAGAAAAAAGGAAAAAGGATGTCGATAAATAGATGCGGATAATTCCAATAGAGAGGAATCTGATCAATATGCATTCAGTTAATCCGGGAACATCTCAAACTTAAACAGAAGAATCAACAATAACTAGTCTTAAAGATCATAAATATCTACTAATTACTGTGGTTTAATCACCAGGAAAATTATTTAGCAGAAAGTAAATGATAAATCATTAGATATATCTAAAAGCCTCCCTCCGAGGTGCGCTGCTCTGCAGAAAAGTAGGCTGCTACTTGTGCTCCTTGCTGCAAAGGCCAGTTATAGGTTGGGGTGGTGCCATTTGTTTGTAAAGTTGGTGAATTGGTGAGGGGACGCCGTGGATACCTTGGCTGCCATTGTGCCTTTTGCTGGGGGTCCAGTTCGTCCCTGTACCTTTAAGGAGGGGTGGACTCCCCCCAGGCATACCTGCCCTCAATCTATCCATTGTTATATATACAGTATGTGCTCCAACTTTGGAGACTCCACATTTATAGATTTAGGACTGCAGTACACTGGGGTACCGCCACGTGACCTCTGCAGCTTATACATATATTTGCAAATGTGTGCAAACTAAACCCCTTGTTTTAACACAAACGGTTAGCCGAATTCGGTTTGTTGGAGGCTGACCGGTAAGTGAGCTGGAAATGTTTGACGTTTTTTACATGCTTTGTCACCCTTCCATGTGCTCCTCGCTACAAAGGCCAGTTATAGGTTGGCGTGGCTTCCATTTGTTTATACTCTTGGTAGTTTTACAGCCCAAACAAGGCCAAGAATTATAAAAAATGTGATTGTTTGAGAACATGTTTAGATATGCATATGAATCATCTTAAAGTGTTTCTAAACCCCGGATTCACTATATCCGGTCTCCCCGGACCCCGCATTCACTATATCCGGTCTCCCCGGACCCCGCATTCACTATATCCGGTCTCCCGGACCCCGCATTCACTATATCCGGTCTCCCCGGACCCCGCATTCACTATATCCGGTCTCCCGGACCCCGCATTCACTATATCCGGTCTCCCCGGACCCCGCATTCACTATATCCGGTCTCCCCGGACCCCGCATTCACTATATCCGGTCTCCCCGGACCCCGCATTCACTATATCCGGTCTCCCCGGACCCCGCATTCACTATATCTGGTGTCCCCCGGACCCCGCATTCACTATATCCGGTCTCCCCGGACCCCGCATTCACTATATCTCTCCCCGGACCCCGCATTCACTATATCTGCTCTCCCCGGACCCCGCATTCACTATATCTGCTCTTCCCCGGACCCCGCATTCACTATATCCGCTCTCCCCGGACCCCGCATTCACTATATCCGGTCTCCCCGGACCCCGCATTCACTATTATCCGGTCTCCCCGGACCCCGCATTCACTATATCCGGTCTCCCCGGGACCCCGCATTCACTATATCCGGTCTCCCCGGACCCCGCATTCACTATATCCGGTCTCCCCGGACCCCGCATTCACTATATCCGGTCTCCCCGGACCCCGCATTCACTATATCCGGTCTCCCCGGACCCTGCATTCACTATATCTGGTCTCCCCGGACCCCGCATTCACTATATCCGGTCTCCCCGGACCCTGCATTCACTATATCCGGTCTCCCCGGACCCCGCATTCACATTCCGGTCTCCCCGGACCCCGCATTCACTATATCCGGTCTCCCCGGACCCCGCATTCACTATATCCGCTCCCCGGACCCCGCATTCCCCTATATCCTCCCCGGACCCCGCATTCATTATATCCGGTCTCCCCGGACCCCGCATTCACTATATCTGCGGTCTCCCCGGACCCCGCATTCACTATATCTGCCCCGCATTCATATATATCAGGACCCCCTGAACCCCCGCATTCATTATATCCGGTCTCCCCCCGGACCCCGCATTCACTATATATTGAAATGCAATTATATCCGTTCTCCCCCGGAACTGCATTCATTATATCTGGTCTCCCCGGACCCCGCATTCATTATATCAGGTCTCCCCGGACCCTGCATTCATTATATCTGGTCTCCCCGGATCCCACATTCATTATATCTGGTCTCCCCGGATCCTGCATTCATTATATCAGGTCTCCCCGGACCCCGCATTCATTATATCTGGTCTCCCCGCGACCCCGCATTCACTATATCTGATCTCCCCGGACCCGGCATTCACTATATCTGATCTCCCCGGACCCGGCATTCACTATATCTGATCTCCCCGGACCCGGCATTCACTATATCTGATCTCCCCGGACCCCGCATTCACTATATCTGGTCTCCCACAGCACACAGTACATTGAAATGCAATTAGTTTAATACATATAAACTGCTAAATACCTTTTCTTATCAGCAGTTACAGCAGTCTTGTGGCTTCTACAGTGTCCAGCAGAGCAGTGGGTAAAGCTTGTAGGAGGAGTTTTCATTATCCCAATTGTCAAAAAAAAAGACTGCATAACCTCTGACCCTCTGTCTGGACAGTGCCGATTGGCCCTGTGCTGATTACACTGTTCAACAGGTAAAAAGTTTTGGGCATAAAATTAGCTAATCTTACATAATTTTGGGGTGCTGAAAACGAAAATGATCCTAAAAAATGTTGATTGGCTCTAGTTTCCATGATATATTCACCCATCTAATGACGTAAGCCATTCAACATTATGATGCAACTTCAGCTGCATATTGCGCAATTGATACTGGTGACCAATAGAAAATGTCCTGTATACTGAGATGATGCAATATTAGCCTTTAATTGCATCACTTCACTGCATAAAAGCTGCAGTATCTGTAGCTGATTGGAGTTCGTCTTTACATTTGGTTTTCTGCTTATATAGGCTACTCAGTAATGCCTCGAACTTGTGTGAATAAAGCAGATAATTTCTGCTATATCTGCGGTGAAATAACTTTTATCTCACAAAAAAGGAGGATAACAGGAATGATTAAGAAAGCCTACAACTTGTATTTTGGCTGCAAGATAGGAGACCAGGACAAGAGCTGGGCACCACATATATGCTGCAATTCTTGTGGGACGGCACTGGAGCAATGGTTGAATGGAAAAAAGGCATCTATGCCTTTCGCTGTGCCAATGATTTGGAGAGAGCCAACAGATCATGTTAGTAATTGTTACTTTTGTATGGTGCCTCCAATTGTAAAAGGGCTAAATAAGAAGAAAAAGTTATCTGTGCACTATCCAAATATTCCATCGGCAATACGTCCAGTTCCTCATGGAGAGGGGCTACCAATTCCTAAAGCACCAGAATCCTTTGTGGTTGAGTCAAGTGAGGAAGAACCTGAAGCGTGTAGTCACGTGCAGTTGTAAGAGATAGCCCTTTCCTCGAATACAAGAGAAAAGCCAAGAGAAGCA